AATCAGTTCATTTGTTAAGCATTAGCTGGAGGTTCGGAACTGGAAATAGATATTTATAGAGCCTCCTTCTAGTTAAACAGCTTACAGTCTTAAGAATCAGACGACCCCACTAATAACTCAATAAATACCAAACACTTAAGTTGCTCCTTTGGTTTTTTTGTCGCTTCCACTGGTTACAGGGCATTCAAGTGGGGCTACAACACGACTACAAGTGCAATTGGAATGCTGGGAATTCGGAGCTGGCATTTGGAATACTTTTGGGAAACTGGAATCGGAATGGGATAGGCATTTGAAGTATTTCCGGTTAATGTTGTTCTTGTTGTTGGGGGTTGATTTTTTTTTTTTTTTTTTTTTTTGGTATTTGTTGTTGTTCGAATCGCTAGTGGCCATGATAGGTCTATGTCGAAATTGCCTGGCTACGAGAATGAGTAACGGCATTATATACATATGTACAAACAATATGTGTTTTAATATACAAGTATTTTTTCAGTAAATGTGGTATTTTATTCGGTATTATTATAATGCTTTTTTTATGTACAAATGCTTCATTTTTATTAGCAGAGACACCAATTGCACACATACAAAGCGAATTTTTATAGCATTTGCACACACACACACACACGCACAATTAAATTAATTTTGTTTGATTTTTTTTTTTTGTATTATTCGGTAATTTTTTTCGTATATACAAACTACAGTTTTATTTCTGATTTACTTAGCAAAATAATTTGCATTATATTTCGCATTTGGTATTTAATTTAAGTTTTTGGTGTTATTTACAGCGTTTTCTTAATATTTGGTTTTTAGTATTTGCCGATGCTACCTAATATTACGCATACGTCATGTGGATCATAAGCAGAAAGCAGCTTGCAATGCGGCTAGCTAAGAGTAAGAGAAACCAAACCAAACAAGAAAAGAACGAAAGAAAAACAAGAGCTAGGCGTGGCATGTTCTTTATACACGTGTCTCTATGTGTGAGGGTGTGTGTGTTGTGAGTGAGTGTGTGTGTGTGTGTGTGTGTGTCTGCCAAATTCTTGGGTGGTTGCATTAAGAAGCATTTGGCAAATGGCAACTACTCGTTTATTTGTGAACTATTGGATTACCAAAAGTGAGTGTATGGGTGTGTGTGTGTGTGTGTGTGGGTGATTGTGATTTTGGGTTCGGCTCGCTTCTTAACCCGCCAAGACGAAAACGAAAACAATGAAAAGAAAAGGCAGATTCAAGTCGAGTCGAGTGTTGTTGTTGTTGTTGTTTGAGTTTTAGTTTTTGTTTTTGTTCTTGTCGTCGCCTTGCTGTGGCCCAAACGCAATTGAAAAAGTAAGCGCTTCGCATGCCAATTAGATGCATCTCAGTCATCATCAATCACGATCAATTATCGTCATTCGCAATATCAATACTATCAAATATGTATATTATTATCACTATCCAAAATCAATTTTTGCAACATAATCAAAAAGCGTTAGCTAAATTTGTATCGCTAGTGGTGTATGTGTAATGTGTATGCGTGTGTGTGCGTGTGCGCGTGTTTTCTTGTTGTTCATGTTGTAGTTGTTGTTGTTGTGCAGAGCGTGAGAGTTAACCAAAAGTTGGTAACAAACGCAWAGGACTTACCAATCGGAATCTGGATCTGAAGCTCCATCTCCGATACGCGATTTCCTAAACGAATTGCGAAATTTTTGTTTTTGGTTTCAATTTCAATTATTTTGATTAATTTTTTTTGTTTGTTTTGTTTTTTGTGCAAAACAATTCGATTGTTGTTGTTATTTTATTGATTGTTTAATTGATTGATCGATTGATTGTTTAAAGACGTAATAAGTAAATTGTATGTAATATGTAGAATGTTCAGATGATAGAAATAGAGAAAGAGAGAGAGAAAGAGAGAGAGAGAGAGAGAAATAGATAGATTTGGACAGAGCTTAAAATAGATAGCATACAATCGATTGCAGACAGATGTCAAGGGCGTAACGTGATCAAACATCTTATGACCTTTTACAACACTGCAAAGTGCTTTCGACTTACAGTTACAGAGCGACAATGCGCGAAAAACAGTTCGCAGCTTCAGTCTGTTTATTCCCACATTAACATTTGCGCAGTCGAGTAGAACAAACAAAAATGTAACAAGATTATTAATAATAATATATGCCGTTCTCCAACACTGGCAAAAACTCCCGCTTAGCTGATGCTTGCATTTCATTTCTTTTTCTGATCCGAATGATCAGCTAAAGTTCAGCATGAATTGCACAAAAAAAACAAAAAAAACGTAACTTTAAGTTCCAGACGTAATACTCTCATATTCAGGCAGGTGGAGTGGAAACATAAAAACCATTTTCCTTTTACATTCTCATAGCGTTCATTAACTAGAAATATAAGCTTGTTGGCCATAATGAACGAGTTAACTTTCGCACAAACTTTGGCATTTAAATATTTTCATCATTTTTACTATTCACATAAAGTCCAGGAGCTATAAGCCATTAAGCCCAATGTCTAAATGCATGCACTTGACTGGGTCGCTCAGGCGGCTTATTTCGTAATAATAAATGTATAAAATATATGTATATAGCGTATATATTAATTATATATTATGCTCTAGGGTTATGCTTGGGCCCGAAATTGTAATTAGAAATTTTCGAGTGTTTACTGTAGCATGCATAGAGCGAAACATTTTATTTATGATCCAGGAGTTGAGCTCTACGTATTAATTAATGAATATTTCATTGCGCACTGAAACTGTCTCCCAATATTTGCGCAGGGTACACAGAGTGCGTTACGGCGGAATTTCTTTTGGTTTCCTTTGTTGACTTTTCGTTCGCTTTATTGCAACATGACTCTTGGGAGCATTTTCACGCATTTTCTTTCACTATTGTTATAGCGAGCAATAGATAGAGAGCAAGATAGAAGAAGAGAGAGAGCGAGAGAGAGAGAGAGAGAGAGAGAGATAGTGTGTGCGGGCGAAAGGCAGGCAATTCATTTAACGGTCAGCTCGTTGACTTGGCTTTTGGCCTGTTCTCATTTTGTGCTTCGACTTTTTTGGTTTCTGGTTCTGGCCCACATGCGGGCTGCGTGCCATCAAGCGTAAAAAAGGCTTGCTGTACGATAAGATTACGCATACCCACACTAATACACACACAAGCACACACACGCACACGGAGCTGGACTTTCGATTTATAATAAATTGAAATGGAGCTTGTTAGTTTTTGCCAGGCCCTGCACACACAAAAAAAAAAAAAAAACCTAATGCTAAAGGCTAAAGTTTTAAGCTTTGTGGCTGCTCCACCTATTAAATGCCACGTTTTATTGCACCACAAATCATCAAGGCACACACACACAGACAGAGCGAGTGAGAGAGAGAGATAGAGAGAGAGATGTTGCTTAATGGCCGCCTGATGTTGGGTTTGGACTGTTAGCTGTTTGTTTGCTTGGCTTGCCTGTTGCCTCAGCTCCGGGCGATTTCAATTAACGCTTTCGGCACTACACACGCCGCTCTCTCAGCGGATTGCACCACATGTGCGCACCACTCGCCGTTCGCCGCTTGGCCATTGGCAGCCACTTTGCCACTGTCACGGCATGACATGGCCAAAAAGCAAATTTGGCCAAGGAATATGTTGAGGCACGCACTGCCGCTTCGCTTCTCGCCTACCCGATGTATGTATGTATGTATGAGTGTTTTCTTTTTCTGCTCCTTCGGCCACTTGACCCTGCCGCGTAGCATCCAACTGGCCAGTCATTCCGGCTACCAGTGTGGCCAGCCGTGCCCATATTAATTGGCCCAGGCATCCAGCGAACAACAGCCAGACAAATGAGCACCATGTTAGCCATTTATTGTCTCAGTTGAACTCAATTTCCACTGTCTTAAAGCAAACGCAACAACACCACAAAATGTCCAGCAAATATCGAAAGTCGGCATCAAATTTGATTGCAGACCTAATCTAGTTCCAAATGCGGGCGGCCGATCACAGGAGGCACTGGATTAGGTCAAAAGTAAAGCAGTTAAGGCAACAAATGAGAGTACTCTAGTCAGGAGTGCCGGACGAGGTGATACCCTGACAACCATACTGTATTGTCATCTCTATCATTCTGCACGTCTTTCAGACAGGCAGACATAAGCAAAAGCCTTATTTCAGCTTTACTGGGTATACATATAATATTTGAACAACATTTGTTCTACATGGAATTTCTACTCGAGTTTAGAGCAAAGACTTTTGGGAAACAGAGCTCATTTGAAATCTGCAGCCTACCTAAAAACCTTATAAAATGATCGATTATTATCAATGTGAGAAACGAATGAGTTATCGAAACATCATGATAGGCCTGAACTAAGCATACTATAAAAAACAAAAAACGATTAGTAAATCTTCTTTATCTTCTTCATATGGATGTAGACATAAACACAATAATTAGCCTGCTTGGCCTACTCAAGAATCTATAGGTATATGGGCTCTACTACGCCTACTTCTGCCTTTCAAACTTTTCTAAAATATATTCACAGAGCAAACTCATTAAAATATAATAATTAAAATATCTGATTTCCTATAGAAAATAAGTTCAGGGTATATAAAAAGACACAACGCTTTCAAGATTGTGATAAATTTCTAGCAAAATTTCAAGTCATTCAAAATCATTTTTGGTTTCACTTTTCATGCCAACTTTCAATCTATTTAATGATTAAAACTTAAATATCAATATATAACAATGTCAAACAGTAAATTCTCAAACTTTTGCTCAGAAATGTAAATCAGGAAAAGTTTTTCAAATTGATGTCTTAAATCAAGCTGAATGAGATGAATGCGTCCATGGAATGCAAATCGTTTGTTTTCATAAAGTTTGCCAGGTTCGTAAAGAAGAGTAGCAAAGAATTGGACTGGTGACTCGGCTAGACAGCACGCCTTCCTGTTTGATTTGTTTAGTTAGGAACTGAAAATGAGAAAAATTGAAGAAGAAGAAAACGAAAAAAGCAGAGCGCGAAAATCTTTGTTTCGAGCTGGGCATCACGCCTGGCCTCGCCTAGCTTCGCCTGGCTTTGTCGCCGCCCGTTTCAGCCATCTTTTTTTTTTTTTTTTTTTTTTTTTTTTTTGCATATTAGTTTGCTTCGTGCGCAGCTCTTAAAGTTCACTGTGGCTCCGAGCTATTTCATGATTTACTACTTAAGAAATTGCAGCGCGCCTTAGCGTGGACTTTAGCCTGCTTATTGCATGGCTTTTACTTTGCCTTCAACGAGGATTTTCACCTTAATTTTTCTCTCTTCATTCACTTTTGGCTTTGCTGCTTAGTTGGCTTTAAGTTATATTTAAATTTCTCGTACTGAGATGATAGAAAAAATATTTTGTTACAGGATTTCACTTTGAATAGCTGTTGACAGACCAAAGCAAGTTATTTCCATGTATTTGAGTCATTCAAACAGGTGGCGCCACCTGTTGAGAGTTAATTTGTGGCTGTTTAACATTTATGTAAATATGACAGTTGCATGCAGCTAACAGGCAATAGATGGCGCTTGGCTGCAGCTGATCAACATCTATCTCTCTCTCTCTCGCTCTTACTCTCTTATGCATGCCACTTGACACAAATGACGCCTATGCAACAAATGTCAAATGGCTGCGCCTCTGTCTCTGTGTGCATGTGTGTGTGTGTGTATAAGTGGCAGCTGAAGTGGCACTGAATTAAAGCACAATCGCACTGCGGCAATCAGATCGAACACTGAATTTCGATTGTGACTGTCTGAAGACACTTGAAAATGCACGGCACAATTCAGGAGAGAGAGAGAAAGAAAACGAGTGAGAGAGAGAGAGAGAGGTTGAGAGACTAAGGCATGCATATGCATGCAGCCCCACAGTTCTTTTGGCAGCGGGCAAAGTTCATACAAGGGCGGAGAATATGCTGCAAACATATCTGGGTCATTTGACAATTTCACAGTTAAACTATGTGTGTGTCTGTGTGTGTGTTTGTGGGGGCTGGTAGTTTCTACATAAATTTGCAATTTTCCAAATTCAAATTCTTTGTAAGTTGTCATTCAGAAGGCAATTTCTCATTTGGCATGCACAATGCTAAAGTATTGTAGCATATGCATAGGCGCAGGCTAGCAGGCTGAGCGAGTGCTGCCATGTGTGTGTGTGTGTGTGTGTCTGTGTGCGTGTGTGTGTATGTGTGTGTATTTGTGTCAAAAGTTCGCCTACAATGCAGCAAGGCAGCTTAAACATATTGATTCTCCCGCTCTCGTCCTCCCTGTCTCTACACACACACACACACACTCAAAAGCCACTTTAACTTTTGCTGTTTGCTAAGATTTTTTCATTCCATTTTTTTTGGTCAAAGTTGTCTGTGCGTGAGTGTGTGTGTGTATAGTTGCACTTTGCCCTCAGCTTGATAAACTTTTTGCCAAAAACTAGCACAAAGCCCAAGTGGATAAAACGTAATATGCGCGGCAAGTGGGACTAAGTAGTCGCAATGAAGACAGCGACAGCTACATGTAAACAATGCCAATGCCAGAGAGCACCCTGTGCGAGCACCCTGTAGGTTACTTGAGCCAGGCACAACCTAACAGGCGAGTGAGAGACTCAATAACAAAAGCGAATCTCTTCAAGAGATCAGAGAGAAGTTTGCACACAGTTTGTGTGCACCCTGTATAGACAAGCGGCACACCCTGTGTGCAACGAGTGAGCTTGAGCATAAATCAATTGTCAAGAGCGAAAACTCTCGTTACTGTCCAAACAACTTGGACGACGAATGGCCGGGCGACAGAGAGCCATTAAATCCCACATAAGAGTACGAAAAAAAAGGAAAGCGAATGCCCTAAGTGAGTCTTATTGAATACTTAACATCCATTTTGAACCACCTCCCAGAAGCAAGAAGAGTCTCGGATTGGGCAGCAAATGAGTCTTAAAAGTACATTTTAGAATAGTTATAGTTGCAAAAAGAGGGCAGAAACCAGAAAAAGAGGCGAATAAACAAGTTGAGTGAGTTTTGTATAAGAGTAGTATAAGAGTGAGCTGCCCAGTAGAAGAGAATATCATCAGTGGCCGGGCTAGCTTACAAGYAAGCGAGCGAGCGAGAAAGAGAGAGGGAGAGATTGTATATATATGAGTGTGCTGAAGAGGGGAGTAGAAAAATGAGAGCTTTACGCTGAGAGCAAAAAAAAGGGAGAAAGAGAGACGGAGAAAGAGAGAGAGAGAAAGATAGAAGAGCACTATATGGCATACGATTATTACAACAATTGTTAGACACGGTCAAAATTAGCTATAATTATGTGTGGGCATACAGAAGAGCTTAGATATCTGCAACACTTACACACACACACACATATATATATTAAAATATATATATAAAGGGTATACCACTAGGCTAGAATAATGAGCGAGAGCGAGATGGAGGAAGCGAGTTAGTGTGAATGTGACGGAAATAGACAGAGATAGGAATAATTGTACACATAGATTACAAAACTGATTTGATTTTTGCTAACGGGTTAGTAGATAGAGCTAAAGAGAGACAGAGAGAGAGAGAGAGAGAGAGAGAGAGAGAGAGAGTGAGACAAACCAAGACAGACAGATCGAGAGAGAGACAGAGAGAGAGGGCATGTGAGTGAGTTTTGGTTACTTCTTGAGCATATCACGGATATTGGATTGGGTAGCGGTACGGTTTGGTATTTGGGAGATTTGAGAGGTATTTTTGTTTTGTTGGTATTTTTTGTTCTATTATTATTATTGTACATACACTCACACATACAGACAGACAGGCGTACACACGTACGGACACACACATACACACACAAAATGCAAGGCAGTAGTAGTAGTAGTAGTAGTACATAACGTTAGATAGTTGCTTGATTAGTTAGATTAGTTTGAGTTTAGCTTAGTTAGTTGGGTTCTTGTACTGTATGTAAAAGCTGTAAAAGCACCGTTCCTCTTAATGCGCCGCAATGAGCAGTAATAGGCCATAACGGCCCGCAGGCTCTTCCATTTGGTTGTCTGGTTGCTGGGATTGCTGTCGTTCTTGTTGTGGTTGTTGCTGCTGTTGCTGTGGCTGCTGTGATTGCTGTGATTGCTGTGATGGCTGTGATTGCTAACCAGCTCCTCGGGATGCTCGCTGATGAACGATGAGAGCGTCTTCACCTGCGTCCGGCTGCCCCCAGCCGCGCCCTGGCCGCCCAGCCCGGCCATGGCCAGCGAATAGCAGCTGCCATCAGAGGATGGACTATTCAGGTGCAATCGTACCTGCCGACGCTGGCGAGCATGCTGTCCTTGTCTATGATGCAACGAGTCCGTGTGCTGTTGCTGCTGCTGCTGCTGCTGCTCTGACGTTAATATAAGTCTATCCCTCTCTGTGTACATTCTTAAACTATTTGTGCAACGGCAATTGCTCTGCGCACTGGTCAGCGATGAATTGGCCGATCTTCCAATGGGTAAAATTTTAGGTTATATGTATACCAACAAAATATATGCACAAATTATCAAACTACATATATGTACGTCTCTATATACTGGCATATTCTACAATACTATGTATACCCTTGCAGTCTGAACTTTTTCTCCAGGACTAAGGCGGCTACATTCCCAAGGCAAGCTAAAATCAAGCAGGAATCATGCGCTTTAACCTACTTAGATCTTAGTCAGAATTCAAATCAAATCTAAAGTCAGCTTCATAACTCTTGCTGTCTACTGTCAGTCAGTCAGTCTGTCTGTCTGGCTGTCACTTCATCACAGACTCGATTTATTTCCTTAGTTCATATCATACAGTCGTCATAAATAAACAAACACTTCAAGGCAGAACTTTTTCATAATGTTTTTGTTCCACCTTGTATACACTACACAGTTACGTTTGTATATATTCACAGTATATCATGAATATATGTATGTATATACAATATATACATATATGGTAAGACAATAATACAAGCTTATCACAATTACATTCTTATGGGTATCAWACGGACGATTCACTTATACATACTTAAATACATCAACTCATATATGCTATATATGTATATAT